TATATATATATATATATATATATATATATATATATATATAATCAAAATGCATTTTATGTTTTGGGGTTGTTATTTTTCTTTTCTTTTATTTCTTTTTGGAATATATTTTTATGTTCTAAATTTAAAAAAATTATTCAAATTTTCAGTTTTTGGAGTGAAATATTTTTATTTTATTTTATATCTAATATATTTTACATTTTGGGGTGATTTATATTGTTTTTTTTATTTCTTATTGTAACATATTTTTGGCTTCTAACTTTCAAAAAATAAATTAATTTCAGTTTTTGGAGTGAAAGTTGTATTTATTTTATTTTATTTTATTTTTATTTTATTTGTTTAATATTTTTTGGTTCTACAAAACATTTCCTCATGCTAAATTTCTTTTGGTTTTGGGGTAAAAATAACTCTGACATCTTGACAGGCATCGTGGGATTCACCCTAGCGTGTGTTTGAGTGTCAGTCCTGAACGCTAGTTAGCGGTTTTATGCATCAGAAGTCACAGAATTGCTCTACTGCCATCACTGTCTGAAGTTTTGGTGCCATATTGAGTTCATGCCACTCTTGTCTGGTTGTTACAACTTCTCTTGAGCATTGTGGCTGGTTCACTCCTCATGTAAACAACGGCCGAGCAGGAAATGAGCTGGATTTGATTCATTTACTGTTGTTTTGAAGTGTTACTCCTTTAACTGATGGAGGAACGCCACACAGGGGAAAGGAGCGCACAGTTACAGCAAAAACACTGTGGTTTTCCCACAATGCACTATTTAACCATCAGAGGTCAGGTTCAGGCAACAGGCATCCAAACAAACAAAAACATTTTCAGAAGGACCCTTTTGTTTCACAGATATATTGAAGCTTCTCAAGATATTATATATCAGCTTTTCATTCCAAGTTTACTAAAGACTATTTGCTGTTTTGCCTTTAATGTTTGCTTTTGTTGTCTTGAATCTGGTTAGTTTATTTCTCTGATAAATAAATAATACACAAGTAAATTAATGTGCAATGAACATCTCAGTTACGTTTCATTTATTAGTCAACCTTGTCTCAAGTCCCAAAATTCATCTGCCAATGAATGTAAATAGCATTGATTCATTTGTTCATGGAAGAAATTATGAAAAATGTATGTTCATAGTAAAATCTCTTGACTTTTGACTGCAAACTTTGGTGTCTGAGCATTGTTTGAGACATTTTTGAGGTCTCTGAAACTCTAGTTGAAACAAATGTGAGATTAACAGGAGAAAAATCTGAAAAGGAGTCTCCATTTGCCCTCTTTTTAATCTCCTTGCTGTGTTGGAGAAACAATATAGATCTCATTTGATTAGCTTTTCTATTATCTAACATTTGTTTCTGTTTCTCTCTTGTCTTGTTTTCTCTCTCCAGAACAGATTTTTGCGTCCATAAAGATGAGCCTTGTGACACAGTTGGTGAGTCTCACTGAACCGCTCTTTTTTTGGTGAATTCTTCTCATAGTCACTTCATGGGAATTTATAACCACACACACAAATACCTCAAAAATGAAATGGAATATCTCTTGCAGTCTGTAAAAACCCACAAAATTGTATTATAAATCCTTGAAATATCTAAGTCTTGTTAAGCCACAAGAGAACATCTGTTACCATGATTTTAGCACCGCATAGCATCACCCTAATAACCACCCAGAACATGCTACAATCATGCCAACAAGCTTAAGCAACACGTGTAAACATAAAAATAACCAGTTTGTTCTATATGTATTATTTTTAGGAACATAATTTTAGGTTCTAAAAATTCTTTATTCATGCAATATTTATTTAGTTATACGTTTTTTTAAACATTTTTAGGTTCTACATTTTTTATGCAAAATTTCTTTACATTTTCAGGTGAAATATTACCCTGACATTAACACACACACACCTCAAAAAGCAATCTTGCAATCTGTAAAAATCCACAAAATTGTCTTGTAAAATCAAGAAATAATTAAAAGTATTTTAGCGAAGTACTTTAGTATTTATACCTTTAGTATAAAAGTATTATTATATATACTTTTAGGAACATACATTTAGGTTCTAGTACTTTCCTAATGCTAAATTTAGTTTGATGTTGCGGGAAGTTTTTGTTCATTTATTTTTTAGGCTCTACATTTTTATTCACAATTTCTTTTGATTTATGAAATGAAATATGGCCCAGGCATATATACATACCTCAAACATAAATTGAAAATGTCTTGCAATTTTTTCTGAAAAGCCACAAAATTGTATTATATATCCTTGACATAACTAAAAGTTCTGTTACAGTGATATTAGCACCAACTGCATAGCATCACCCTAATAACCACCCAGAACGTGCTAGTCATGTCAACAAGCTTAATGTGGGTAAGCAGCTCTCACAATTTCTTCAGAAAATAATGTAAAAATGCAGTTAATGTGTTCGAGTTCTTCAGGTCATCCGTATGCAGCCAGTTTCTTCTTCATAAATCTCTTGGACTTTTTGATATGGACCATTAAGTATTCTGACATTATCCCATCAGTATTCAGTCATTGATGGAGAAACACGAAACAAGAGATGGATGTTTGCTGAATAACATAAACATGCCTTTGGGTCTTGAGAACGTCAGTCCATGATCTTTTTAATTCAGAGCATTCGTCATCGAAACCTCGATTTCTTCCAAACTCACAACAGATCTCAGATCCTCTGGCGATCCATGAGTCCTGGCCACCTGCCGCTTGTGCAGTTCTCTGTGTGGGGCATTTGAAAATAGTCCTGTCTTTTCCCCTCTCCTGACCCCCTGGATTCCTGCCATTGGAGCCAGGTGACTCATATTCACTCGTATCCCAGCGTACCCCGGGGGAATGAACATTGAACTGTGATCTGCTCTTGAGCTGTGTTCCAAAAACTAGTCAGCTTTGTTTTTCTGCTCTCTAGAGAGGCAGCGGTCTAATAAGGCAGCAACCTATTAGAAATGAAACCTCATTCACTACTGTTCAAAAGTTTGGGGTTAGTAAGATTTTTGTTTTTGAAAGCCTCTTATGCTCATCAAGGCTGTGTTTATTTAATAATATTATGAAAAATTATTACACTTTAAAATTACTGTTTACTAGTTGAATGTATTGTAAAATGTAATTTATTTCTGTGATGTAAAGCTGAATTTTCAGCATCATTACGCCAGTCTTCAGTGTCACATGATGCTTCAGAAATCAGTCTAATATGCTGATTTGCTGTACAAGAAACATTTCTGATTATTATTAATGATGAAAACAGTTGTGCTGCTTAATATTTTTGTGGAAACTGTGATACATTTTATTTTTCAGGATTCTTTGATGAACAGAAAATTCAAAAGAACAGCATTTTTTGAAATAGAAAAAGTTTGTATCATTGTAAATGTCTTTACTATCACAATTTAATGCATCCTTGCTGAATAAAAGTATTAATTTCTTTCAAGAAGAAAAAAAAAACTCTTTCTGACCCCAAACTTTGGAGTGATAGTATACATGAATGATTTGGGAAAAATAAATAAATAAATTGAGAGAAAGTTTGCTACTATAAAAAAATTATTTGGTAGATTAGACTATTTTTTTTACTAATATTTTTTTGGTAAATTAGACACCATTGTAATCATGCTTTCCACCTTACACAACAGCTATTGCATTGGGAGCTCACTGAAGACTATGAAGACATCGCACTAGGTTTTAAAACAGAGCCTTGGAGTGAAAGTCACATGACGTATCTCAAAGTTTTGACACGCCATGCTGTTGAGTCTAAGGTTCTGTTTAACACGTAAAGTTGAAAATTCATCCATTCCAGAGTTTCCAAACACGCTCAGCAGGGTCATGCTTTTCTTTAGCGTCTGCATACCACGAGACCACCATCGCATCCAGAATGGATTGTGAGCGCAGAAGCCACCTCAGGACCGTTTGTTCAGTTCCAGACAATCAGAGCGGGCCGTAATTGTTCCGGCATGATGGAAATCATTTGGTCACAGTGCTGCTATTATGCAGCAACTGGGAATGGCATCCCTAGAATGATGAGTTTGAGCGGACGTCTCTCTGTTTGGGTGGCCCAGTTCCTTCAGGGGAACATTGACATCAACCGTGAAAAACCTGCAGTCTGTAGAGGCAGCCAAGCGAAGGCCTCCATGTTAAGACACGTAAGATAAGCAGACTTTCTATTTCTGTTCCACATCTTTGTTTCGGATTTAACGCTCGCATGATGCAATTCTATAGTTATTTGACTGTATATGGTCTTGAGTCGATTTGGTAGTAGGGTTGGAGTAACCAAGTAAAGTCTGGTGAGTGTCCGTCAAATGAGAGTGTTTGAGATAACGGCGCCAGTGATGAAAGCAATGACCTCACTGATATCAACTTCAACCCACTTTATGCCCCACTAGCAGTAGGAACACAGGAAATATGTTTAAAGCAATGTTTACAATATTGCAATGTAGGGCTGTGCGATTAATTGAAATCGTCATAAAATCGCGATTTGAGCTTGCGCGATTTCTAAATCGCTTTATAGCATGATTTTCCGCACCCCCGACCTCCCACAGTATGCTATCCGAACCAATCAGAATGCAGCGCTCCTAAATGGAGCACGAGAACAGAACAGACCGGGCAGGCAAACAAACGTAACGCCAGGTTCACACACTCAGTCTGTGGTGCGAATTTTTTCCGCGCCCATGTTAACAGATCAGAGCGTTCACACTGCACGTGATTGCGGTCCGGCAGTGTGCTCCAGGAGCGGTGCATCTGCAGCAGTCATGCTGTGATCGTTTCCGCACAGAATCTATTTCTGCTGTGCTGCACGCTCTGAATTAAAGTGACAGCACATTATTCGCGGTAAAAATTAAAATGGATTGACACGGAAATTTAGTAATTACACCATAAATGCATATAATTAAAGTCTACTGTTTCACAGTCAACACATGGCTTTTTGGCTAGATTTAAAACAAGGAAAAGTGCACTTTTAGATAAACAAGGCAATAATAGATGGCACTCGTGGTGGTAGTTAAAGTTATATTTATTGAGTTTAAACGTGAATATGTCTATGAAAGATTGTATCACTGTACTGTGATAAAAGAGAATCACAATGCTGAAAAAGCATTTTCAGAAACAACGTTTGGATTTGAAATCAAAATAATGGATAAATGTTGTGTTTGTGGTAAACAGCCGCGGATCAGGAGCGGACTGCAAACGCGCCCTGTGCGAAAGCAAAATGAGTCTTGAACAACATTAAACTTTTAACCCTGAACTTTTTGCAAACGTTTCAACCGTGTCATCCTTTAAGATATGCACGTTTTTGCTGAATCATCAAGAATAAAAAAAAGCACAAATTAACTTTGTCTAGGCAGATTTTGTTTCAAAAACAAAACAGCTTATATTGCTTTAACCCTCATGTTTTGTTCCGGTCATTTTGACCGAGAGGATTTTCTTTTCGAAAATGCTAATTAATGATTAAAACCTACTGACTTTGCTTACAACTTCCCTAAAAATATATCATTTTCTTTTTGGAAGTGAATGGCCATAATCCTCATTGATCTGAGTTTATGCACCTCTGATTTCAAATGAATAAGCCAAAATTATCCACAAATAATGTTTTGTTTCATTTACTCGTAAACTGAGTAAACTCAGTTTACTCGTGAGCATGAGCTCAGATCATTGAGGACTATAATCAGTTCCAAAAAGTAATACAAAACTTGTGCTAACTGAATGAAAACAAGTTGATTAAAAGACAGATTTTTGACCTGGAACGCCACATTACAGTAGGTAAAGGATTTTCAGCACAGCACAAGGGTTAAATCAAATGGTTTAGAAAAAATAGGTAAACATCAAAAAAATTCCTCCTGCCAGATTATGCAATACTGGAAATTACCCATTGCAAACTGTGATTTATTTGTTTAAATGCCAAAACTCTACTTCTGATGCCAAAACGGCTCAGTTTTTTCCCCATTTTGAAGGTCATTATGAATTATTTACCTGTGTAAATGGGCCAAATGTGCTCATGATATTACAGCAAAAGAAATATTTGCCTAAAAAAAAGATGTAGAATAGTTTAATGAAAACACGTTTTGCATTTCCTCTCGTCCCATTGAAATGCACACCTAACTGTCTGGAATCACCCTCTGAACTCAGTTAAAGGTTGTAATTATTAAACGAGAGGAATTTCCCCATTCAGTCAGGTAGGAGGAGCGGAGACGCCTCGTCTTGGAGATCATTCAGAGCAGAAGTCTGTGTTTAAATGGTGCTCCTCTCTTTTCAGCTGATGTACAAGGATCCCATTGAGATAGGGTTTGATTAAGAAGGGATAAGCTCGTACCTCAGGCTTAACGTCTCCCATCTCAGATTCACTTCCTGGCTTTTGAAGTCTCTGTTTCTTTGAGTTCTTCGCCCTGAGCAACGGTCCACGACTTGAGTGAAATCTGATACGAGGGGTTTAACTTTTACAGCTGCCCCATAAGACCGATACAGATTGGAACGTTTGCTTTGGCTGTTAAATAAATTTAAACTTCGGAGAAGTTTTCAGTGCTTTTCGTGCTTCATGCATCGCTACACTATCGACAATAGACACGTTTTGTCCACAAAATCTCAACGAAATTTCACTAATGTGACCGCACCTTTTGGCTTAGTGGTTTGTTCAAATCACTAACACTAAATATGAGGCTGTGAGCAAAAGTCTCATAGTTTTAATAGTTGACCTCTTTCTAGTACAAACAGTAAAACATTGCCTCAGTGTTTTGGGATTTCCATCGTGTCCTTACTCGGATGTGGGATGTTGAGTCATAATAAGCAACTCCTATTTCAACCACTTCACTGTGTTTATTGATATTTGCTTCAATGAAGCGCCACAACCGTGAGCTGAACTTTAAATCACGGTCTAGCGCTACCATAAAACATACATTCAGCTGAAGGCCACAAGAAACACCATGAAGAATCGTGAACATAAAAACCTCACGTCTTTTCATGTCTGTTGTTGTAGTTTCTGTAATATGGAAACGATCCTGATGTTCAGTTCTGTGGATCGTCTCCATGGTTTTATAAGCCCTCCTGCACAGTAGGTTCAACGTGCCATTTCCTGTTTTCTGTGGGCCTTTTGAGGGCTTGAGAGGGATGGTTCAGTGTGGGACTGTAAAACTGAAGCTTTAAATGGAGCGTAGCATAGAAAACAGTTCATTAAACTCCTGCTCAGGTGAATTACTATTTTCAATATTCAAAAACTTTTTTTGTGAGACATATTAAACCATAATAACTGTAATTATTTATATATATATATATATATATATATATATATATATATACACACACACACACACACACACACACACACACAGTATAATATATTTATATTATATAGTATACAATTTAATCATTAAATATAAGAGTTAAAAAAAAACTGTGTTATTTCATTTAATCCCATTATTGTGTAGAAGAAACAATTGAAATATAATAGAAAAAGGGTTGTTTGTCACTAAGCTTTTGAGAAAAAAATTTGATTGATTATTAAAATAAAGTAATAAAAACAGTAAATAAAAAATATATTAAATGAAACTAGTATTAGTGATAGTAATAGTGATAAATAAATACATTTTATGTAATAAAATGTGTTTGCGAATGTCATTTCTTGTTGACTTCAGGCAGACAACCAAACCTGGCCCAGAGAAACAACTGAGATATTAAAAATCTAGAATAAACAATTGCGATATTAAAAAGATCTCATTTGACTTTTTTCTTGTTTTCCAGGAAGCTTTCAAGGAAAAATCTGACTGTAAATCTGGTTGTAATTTGGACTGTTGATATTTGTTTGCATGTTTGTTGTCTCACATTCTTGTGTTTTAAATTAAAGCAGCTGAAAGTCTCTCTGCTTGCTGTTGGAAACGGGAAATGAGGTGAAAAGCAGTAAAAAAAATTTAATAACACCCTGACAGAGTAACGTCCTACTGCAGTATATATACTGTATATAATATCTATACGTATATACTGTAGATATATGTACAGATAGAAAAAAAACTGATCCTACATGTTGTTTGACATTGTTGTTGTTTAAAGCAGCTGACTGAAAGCGCTGCTCACAACTAATAACAAAGCATTCAGCCGGTCCGCCCAGGCTGCTGAGCTGGTAGATTCGCTGTACTTCTCTCGTCACGAAAGGGCTCACTCGTGAATGCAAAGCACTCTACATGTGCTAACAGCAAATTAACCCCAAATAAATAATCGGCAAAAAATCTCCCGGCACCGTGTGTATTCAGGCCTGTCTTTCTGAGTCTGTCTGGCTGGACCGTGAGCTGTGGTGCCATGGTGAGCGCTGAGTCAAATTCAGCTACCGATATCTATCTGTCTGTCTGTCTGTCTGTCTGTCTATCTATCATCTTGACAAAAATTACAGCAATACTATTTCAGAATTTCAGTTTAATTTTTATAGATCCCCCCCGTATATTCATAAATTCCTCATCAAATTCATCAATGAAATTCATTGAATTAAATGAAATTTACAATTCAGTTCAATTTCGACCTCAATTGAGTTCACTTTTCAATCTTGGATCATCATTTACTCTCCCTCGTGTCATTCCAAACCCGCTTGCTGTCATTTTTTCCATGGAGTACGAAAGAAAGCTTAAATAATTAGCTGAACTCTCATTTCCATTCATTTGCAGTGAAGGTGTTATTAAGCCTACCTGTCTGTCATGTGTAGTTCACCCATCCAGACATTACACATTATAGATAACATTCCATCAACTCACAGCAAGCTATAAAAATATCTGCACAGAACGATTGCAGAGACTTGCTTACAGAAACTTGAACTCATCTGACCTGTAAATCAGTAAATCAAAAACTGTAAATCAGCTCGTGACAGATGTAGCAGATATAATTGCAGCACTTCAAAAAAACTAAAAACAGATAGAAGAATGGCGGTTTAGAGGGGAAGTGGAGGAATTTAGGACAACATCTGTTTTCCAATCAACCTGCTGTTCTTTTTATATGGCATTCAAATAAATTTTTTTTCCATAATACAATTCCAGTCAGTGTAAAACTGGCACAGCCCATTATTTTCCGACATGTGTTTTAGACCTCAGATCCATGTGTAAAGATGAAAAACTCATCCTGACACAAGCAAATCATCACCTCATCTGTATCGCTAATATGATTTTTTCATATTATATCATAATACTGATAATACATCGACTGAATTGGGATTTCAGCTTAGTCTCCATACATGGTGATGTGTTTTGTTTTCAGAGTATTTCTACACCGTAGATTGAAGAATGATAAAGCACAGTTCATTTGTTTTTACTGCATGTTTCAGTACATGGCAATTGTTTCCAGCATCAGTCATCAAACACTGTGAGCAAATAACACAGAAACTTTGATTTATGAGCTACAGTGGAACGTCCAAATGTCTCTTTATTTTGTAATTGCAGGGTTTCTGTTTTTATTGCTCTAGAACAATATTTATTGAACCACTGTGTGAAACATGTAAGACCAGAAATTATATCTAGCCTAGTTTTTTTAAATAAGATGTGTTATGTGGTTGTATATCATCACGTTTTTCTTTTTCTCACGGGCCTTTTAAGTCACACTGTTGTTGTTCAGTATTTTCATTGTGTCTTGATAGTAAACAGCTGTTACTGTGTATAGGCTGCTTAATGCTTATTTATTCAAGTTGGTTAAAGTAATAATATACTTGTTTCAAAAACTATGGTTGTGAGCTGCCCATGTAATCAACATTTTAAGGCATTGTATTTACGCTCCCAAACAGAAGTTGCATTAACTGTTTTTTTTTTTTTTTGTCATTTACTAATTCATAATGCTGATAACAATTTAGATGCCTGCAGATGTAAATTGTTACAGGGGTTTTGACCAGATTTGACCAGTTGAAGCCTTCTAAATGTTGCATATTTTAATATATAATTCATATAGTTTTCTTTAACAATGCAATGCGATAATTGCATGAGATGCATATTGCAAAAATCACACAAACTGAAAAATGTGACCTGCCATATGCTCATACAATCAATGCTCATTTCCTGTTGTTATTCCATGTAAAAGTACCTCTGCAGGACCAAACTGCTCTCTTGTCGTCCTAAACACAGTTTTGTGCCGTTTTTTCTTTTTTAACACAAGCATCTGGGCTGAATTTCATTCTCTGGTTATTGATTTCACTTACGGTGGTCAGAGGCTAAGTGAGGTTGTCTGGGTTTCGTCCAGTGTCAGACACAAACCAGGTGCTTTCACAGGAACACTAGAAAGGGGATAGTCTGTGATGTGACGTAGACTTTCTGATGTGGCATCACTCAGTGAAAGAGATTCTGACTCATAGAACATGTGTTTGCTGTCAGTTTGTACAAAAAGCAGTTGTGCTATCATATAGAGTTTTATATTTTCTGAAGACATTCAGACTGTTGATTGAATGTCATGAAGTTACAGGTGGTTGCCAGGGCATTTCTATGTGGTTGCTAGCCTGTTCTAATGTGTTTTGCATGTTGGTTATGGGGTTGATGGATGTTTTTTTTTTACAGAAACATATTAATCAGAATATTTATTTATTTATAAAGATGAAATATAATGTAATTCTTTGGGACTTATGTTATATAATTGCTTTGAGGATTTATTTATTTGTTTGTTATTTCAAAACTATCGAGATAACAAAAAAAATTATCATTATAATAATATTTATAAATTATAATAATTATCAGAATATATTATGCATAAAATATAAAATATTATATCCTATAGTATTTAATTATTTAGGTTTCAATATGTTTATAATTTTTTTTTAATATTGTAATGTAAAAAAACAAATATATATATATATAGAAAGAGAGAGAGATTTATAGATATATATTCATATATCACAATTTGAACAATTCACATTTTTTTAACAAAAATCAGCAAAATTTAAAATTCAATAATAATGTTCAATACTTCACAAAACCAAATGTTAAATATGAAATGAATGGCATATCTGTGTCCTTTATGGCACTGCTTTTTCCTCTCTGAAAAATTTCTTGCAAGAAATCTGTTGTTATTCCTCAGGACAGGTGGGTGACTGAAATTGGCATAAAAACACAACCACAATTAAAAACCTCTCAGTTACGAGGAGGACAAAAGTAAGCTAAAACTGACAGCGATTAGCAGCAACGACTGATCTCCAGTCAGTGTGAATGAGCTTCAGGTATTAAAGTGTCAGATTTTGTGGTTTCCTGTCTATCCGTTATCTTCTCACTCAGTGCTTTGCTCTCTCCACAGGAATTGCTTATCTGGGCGGCACCTGTAGCTCCAAGAGGAAGTGTGTGCTGGCGGAGGACAACGGACTCAACCTGGCCTTTACCATCGCTCATGAGCTGGGCCACAAGTGAGTCCAAACACCATATAAATCAGCTCTGATTGGACGCAATTAAACATGCAACTAGTTTTTGAGATGCTCTGTGGTACTAAAGGAAAATTTGAAATCACATCATATGACCCCTTTAATGTAATGTTTTTCTTGTGTTTGGGATCCCAGAAACATCAACAATGACCGTCAAAAGTAATCACTGATTTGACCAAATCAAATCCAGTAGGCAGAGTATTGACTATTTACTTTAATTATTTTGCTTTAACTATTTGTTTTAACTAATCTGTTTTGTTCCAATATAGTAATCCAATATAGTAAAATTTAGGTTTGGCGGTTTCACGGTTTCCTCAAAAATATGAAACAGATATGAATATGAAACCGTTTTCTTTCATTTCTTTCTTTCACCTTTATTTATAAAGCGCTTTTAACAATACAGATTGTGTCAAAGCAACTGTACAGCATTAATTAGGAAAATAGTGTGTCAATAATGCAAAAGTACAATAGTAAACTAAATTTTCAGTTAAAGGCAGTTCATCATTGAATTCAGTGATGTCATCATCCAGCTCAGTTCAGTTTAAATAGTATCTGTGCAATCAAGTCGACGATATCGCTGGAAATTAAATTGGTTTTCTACATTGATAATAGTCAGAAATGTTTCTTGAGCAGCAAATCAGCATCTTAGAATGTTTTCTGAAGGATCATGTGACACTGAAGACTGGAGTAATGATGCTGAAAATTCAGCTTTGCATAGCAGGAATAAATTACATTTGAACATATATTCAAATAGAAAACACTTATTTTAAATTGTAATAACATTTCACAATATTACTGATTTTACTGTATTTATAATCAAATAAATGGTGAGCATAAGAGACTTCTTTCCGAATCATAAAAAAAATCTTAATGATGCCAAACTTTTGAGTGGTAGTATATATTCTTTAGCTATTGAAAGCACCCCAAACAGAATGTGATCAAGAGATAGGGATAGTTCACCTGAAAATGAAAATAGGTATCATTTACTCACTCATATGTACTTTCAAACCAGTATGACTTACAATCTTTTGTATAACACAAATTCACAGAGTTTATACAATGAACGCATATTTGAACTAATAAGTTAGTCATACAGGTCTTAAATGATAACAAAATCTAAATTTTTGTGTGAACTATCCCTTTAACGTTTCATTTGTGTTCACACGGGCCAGGACATTTTTAGGTTAAGGCCCACAGCATTTGCCGATTTGGTCAGACAAGTAGATGGATGCAATCTCCAACCAGATCTCCATCCATGATCAGACTCAATTTCAGACTTGTAAATATCTAGTTTGTAATCTAAATTGGTTATTTAAATCATGCATTGCGCTCTGTTGGTTTTTCTAAATATCCACCTCTGCTCTTTTAACAACAGGTTGCTTGCATACGTCCCTCTTCATCAGGTTTCTCTCGTTAAATGAGCGGTTGAGACAGCGAACACACTTCCATCCTCACCATGTGGTTTGGAAAACCTAGACATACTTGAAAGAGAACATGCTGTAAATGAACATTTCGCGTTCACACATCATTCACATGAGTTATAGGATTGAACCGAATGCCATGACGACGTATTACCTGCTCTGCCCGAACAAAAACACGCTTCTCACAATAGCTCCCCTTCATCTTCTCGCTAGCATAAAGCCCTCTTTGATAGAACAATGATGGGCAGCCAACACCAAAATTTGTCTGGAAAAATGGCCAAGCTACATTAGCGTAAGCGCCAGTCTTCAGAGGAGTTATCGCTGTACCTGCTCCAGTATAGTGTGCCGCCACGGCCAAAGTCGGCTTTAATGCCCGGCAGTAATGAGCTGGCACCGATCACGCCCGACTGGTGCCGATACCGCTATCCCAGTCATCACACGCACACAGCGCTCCATTGTCTCCAGTCTGTAAAAACACTATTAAAGCGAGTGCATTATGGGTTTATGTGCACGCTTAGGTCTTTACAATATAAGCTGTAGCAAGACATGTCAATATGATTATTTTATAGAGTCGCTAGTGTTGAATATTTCTGTCAGCATGGCATTTACAGGCTCTAATAAACACATGCAACAGCATCGTGCTTTCTGATGGATTGAGAGTTCTTTGAGTAGCGAGCAGAGTTTCTCATCTTTCATCTGCTTACGACATTTTGATTTGGCGCGCGGGCGTAACGAAGCTTAATGACTGTCTGGGAGTCTTGTTTTAGCGCCGCTCCATTCGTCTCGCTTTATCAAGTGTAGACGCTGATCGTTTTCCAATAATAACAGTTGAAGGAGCACGATCACGGCACTCAAGGAACATTGGCGTAACACTAATGTGGGGTTTGCCGCATGCATCGACTCAATCGAAATGAAAACATCCTCCATATGGGAGCAGCGTGTCACGTCATATTTCAGTCCACCCACAATACCTCATTAGTGTCATCATTGCTTATTCGATCATTAGTCAAAGCGCCTTTCAGAATAAAGATAAGTGAGTTCCTGTTTAATGAATGGATGGAGTAATTGGTGCTTGCAGGTGAGTTTGGAAAATTACACAATGTGAATGACACTGCTCAAAAGTTTGGAGCTGGTAAGATTTTAAATGAAGTCTCTTGTGCTCACAAAGGCTGCATTTATTTGATCAAAAATGCAGTAATATTGTGAAAAAATATTGCAATCTAAAATAACTGCTTTCTATGTGAATATACATTTTAAAATGTGATTTATTCCTGTGATCAAAGCTGATTTTTTAGCATCATTAATCCAGTCTTCAGTGTAACATGATCATTCAGAAATCATTCTAATAGGCTGATTTGCTGCTCAAGAAACATTTTTTATCCCTATTGAAGTTAAAAACTGTTGTGCTGTTTAATATTTTTTGTCGATACATTTTTATTTTCAGAATTCTATGATTAATAGAATAGAAGTTCAAAAGAAGAGCTTTTATTTTTTTATATTATATTCTTTTGTAAAACAAAATTGTCCTTTAGAGCTGCAGATAAATCACTTCTTTGAATGTTTTACTTGCAACCAGTGAGCGATTGTTCAGTATTTGTTTCCATCATAATTTAATTAGCCACTTAGGGCCAGACTTACTAAACAGGGAAAATTAGCGTTAATGCGCAATTCCATAAATGCGCCGATGGGAGGGGAAAATTCTGCGGGTGATTTACTGACAATGCGCACATTAAAGAACACAGATGCAGCCAGATAATTTCCATAATGATCATCGCAATCTACCAAGAGCAGCGCAAATTACCAACTGCTATAAGACATGCTTTTTTTGAGTGTTAAATAATGGTGCAAATACCTGTAATTTGACGAGCGCAAACGTTAAATCGCATTGCGTGATTCATTTTAATACTCTCCTCCCATAAATTTTGCATCTGAAAGGGAAACTTCTACAAATGTGTCCACGCCTTTTCATCGCAAATTCATCACTGTGCATCTTTATTAAATCCTGACAGTACTATTTTTTTAACAACATAAATGGTTTGCGCTGGCGCAAGCTGTTAGTAAATATGACCCTTAATGTAAGTATATACATTTTTTATGCACAATTTAGGAATTTTAGAAAGTTTCCATGCAGCGTTTTTATGCAATTTCGCAAAATTTGCACATTAATACGTGGATGCAAATTATGGATGCCAGCTATTGTTGACACAAGGATGGTACATAGTTGTTAACGTGAGCAATTTGAAACAGGTTTGTGGCTTTTTGGTGGTTTTTGCTGTTACTTTTGCTCATATGTAGAGTTAGAGGCATGAAACAAACCACTAAAACTAAGGATATTATCATTTGGTGAGTAGCTTTTACAGTTTATAGACATCAGTGATTCCTTAATTGTAGCTAATGCAATATGCAATTACATTTTCTAAACGTAAACTACGCCAGAGCGCGTACACACCTCACGCACCGGATGCGTGCGCGCACTCAAAGACAGTTGGACATAGTGGTGTATAAGAGATAAAAAATGATATAAATACTGTTCGGTTTCTGGCACAAACCGATCGTTTCGTGTCTTAGGACATCAATGTGTCGTCACGAGCCGCAGGGTTTAATTTGGATTTGTCTGTGCATGTTTTTTTTACTCATAGATTTTGTTACCATTGCCATGCATTATACGACTGATAGACTGCAACGGTTAAAGTTAAAAATCATCATATGTGTTCTACTGAAGAAACAAAGTCACCTACATCTTGGATGCCCTGGGGGTAAGCAGATAAACATCACATTTTCATTTTTGGATGAACTATCCCTTTAAATAATTTTCAGTTTTTTTGGTTTAACTATTAAAAAAAAATTGTGCATACATGAAAATCTCTTTTTTATATATAATGTACATACATTATAAGATTAGAAAATAATATATTTAAATTATATTACATAATATATTAAAAGGGCCATCGGATGCAACATGCACTTTTACAAGTTGTTTGAACTGATATGTGTGTTGGCAGTGTGTGCACACAACCACCCTATAATGATAAAGAACCACCCAGTGGGTTATTTTTTATCTTGTTAAATAATTTCCCCTTTCTCAAATCAAGCCATTCTCAGCTCCTTGTCTGTGTGACGTCAAACAAATCCAGGCCCCTCCCACAATTGTTGATTGACACTGGCGTTTTACCTTAGAGCCGCCCTGAGTGAGCTGTCATCAGTCCGGCATTGTTTTGACGCCGGAGCAGATGTAAACAAGAATGACTCCTAAGCGATTGAGGTGTTTTGTTGTTGGATGTAATAATGAACATAGCAGTCGTCATTTACTCCCGACATCTGAGCCGCTGAAGTGGATTACCTTTGTTTCTGAAGGGAATGCGCCCCCGATCTACCTAAATGTGTCTACGTTCACGCAAATCATTCATGATCCAGCCTCACCTACAGAATAAGTGAGTATAAGGTTCTTTTATGAATCTTTGCAAATCGCCTTTCCTAATAACGTGCTAGTTAGCAAGTTCCACGGCTAAAGTAAACAGTATCATGAGAATGGCTCATCACCCCACAGAAGAGAGGGGCGGGGTC